CTTGCCACCTCTCACTGAAAAGGCCAAGCCATGATTAGAGGGTTGGGACTTCAACCCCTCTCCCCAAACTTCTGAGAAGAGGAGAGGGGCTGGAGGTTGAGTTGATCACCAATGGTCAATGATATAATCAATCATGCCTACATAATGAAGTTTCGATAAAAACCCAAAAAGGCTGGGTTTGGGGATAGGCGAACACATGGAGGGCAATCTGCCCAGAGAGGGCATAGAAGCCCCATGCCCCTTCCACTTGCCTTGCCCTATGCATCTTCTCATCTGTATTCTTTGTAATATTTATTATAAACCAGTACCCATAAGTAAGAGTCCCCTGAGTTCTGTGAGCTGCTCTAGGAAATTAACCAAACCCAAGGAGGGGGTTATGGGATTGCCAATTTATAGCCAGTCAATAAGAAGTACAGGTAAAGCAACCTGGGGCTTGCAATTGGCAGGGGTCAGCCTTGTGAGACTGAGCCCTCAACCTATGGATCTGATCTATCTGATATCTCCAGATAGATCAGACTGAACAGGATTAGAGGACACCCAGCTAGTATCTACCACTGCAGAACTGATTGCTCACTTGACATGTGGGGGAAAAAGCCTACAGAATTGAGAGTATAGTGGGAGAAACTGAGTTTGTTTAATCCTGTATTCTCAGAGTAACACTACTGATTCTGTGCTAAACTGTACTGATGTTTTCCTTCTAAATAAGATTAATATTCTCAAATTTGAGAACAGCTAAGAGGAATGTGCTTACAAAGGTAAAATTTTATTTACTCTTGAGTTAAATGAATTAATGGATGACATACACTATAGCACGTAGTTTTCATAAAAGCAAGAAATTTAAAAAACAAAAGAGAGGAAGGACAGGGCACAGTCTCACTTTTATATATCCTTCTCTACCTCTAGCATCATAGAAGATTATAAAATTGGAATAATACTGTGTGCTGAATGCTACAGAGATATGCTTTGTATTTTTAAAAATTTCTTGGTTTTTAAAAAAGCATTCCATATTTTCATGCAATGCAATTATTTTATATCCTGTATCTTAGAATTCTCTCCAAATTCTCAAAGTACTGAACCATTCAGAATTCCTCTCACGTCATCCTAATGACCAAGACCCTTTGTGCCTCACTTGATGATCTTGAGGTCCTTGACCTCTCCTGATTAGTAAAACTCAGGCTTACTCATTCATAGATTTTAAAAAACAATTAGAATGGATTCCAGAAATCTAGATCAACTCTTTAGTTTTATGAATATAATGTGAAAGATTAAGTGAGGGTTCCAAAGGAACAATGCATTCTCAAATCCCTTTCCTGGGTTGCCATAGCTCCTGTAAAGCCTGGACACTGACACAACAGATATATGAATTCTATCTCATAGAATAGCTAACTCAGGGAACTAGGCTTAGGGATTTAATGTTTAAAAATGGCTGGCATTATTTCAGAGACTATTGCTTAGAGGTGGTAAATCTTGAATTACAATTTTAAGGGAGAGATGAGAGTATAGTTTGACCCTAGGATGTTGTTTGCAATCACATGAACAAAGACCAAACAATGGAAAAAACACAGCAGAGAGGTAGTGCCAGAGTGACTAGAAGTGCAGGATAAAGAGAAAACAAAGAAAACAAGTCCAGAGTTGGAATTATATTTTAAAGGCCCAGAAGGTAGTCTGCAAAAGAAGAGAAAGCCATTGGAATGATGTAATAATCAGAATCATATGGCAATAAAACACTATCTACTCTGCTACCCATAAACCCAGATACCTGCCCTGATCTCAAAATCCTGTCCATCACAGCTCAGTAGAGATTACAAATTCCACCTCTAACCAGCTATCCTAACATTCCTAACTTCCCATCTTCTCTATCTCAAATGAGGCAGACCTCAATAATCCCAAAACCTCTGTCTCTCTACATACCAGCCTAATATACAATACCCATCCCCATTTGTTAACTCTCATATTTCTCTCCACACTACATCCTTTAGGGTCTTAGTACTTTCCCTCCAATTCTACTTTATCCCATACCCTCTGACCTATTCAAATACTCTTGCTATTTTTTAAAAATACTCTCACTCTTTAACCTTCTTGAGTCCTTCCAAATATCCTGATTCCCATTCCTCTTCAAAGTTTCCAGCCACTTTTCTTTCCAAAACTAACTTGCGCGTCCTGTGCTGCCTACCTCTGCCTCCCATCCTTCTCCATTACACTCTGATTACCAATTTTTCCCACAAATTCTATCCCAGTTCCCTAACACCGTATTAGTTCCCCCCATTTCTCTATGGTTCTTTCCAGTACCCTGCCTCAACACTTCTATATTCATCCAGACTTCCCATATTGCCCATCTTCCTTCATCCCAGAAAACACCCTGACATCCTAGTGCATTCCAAAACTCTGCCCTCCAATATTCCCGTTCCCAAACAAAATATTCAAACTTCTACCCATTCCTCTTCATCCCAATGGAACTGCCTACATAGATGCCTTTCCAGCCTAACACCCTGGCCCTATGTTATACATCCTATTAACAGCCTGATTTTCCCTCTGCCATCTCTCTCATTCCACTGAGATACCCTAAAACCCAAGTTTCCTATCCCTTTCCATTAATTATTTATTCAATTTTATTGGGCAACTTTTATGTGCCAAGAACTGTGCTAGGCTCTAAGAATACAGTGCTGAGAAGGCAGAGTTTTTACATTTAAGATGCACTACAGGATTATATCACCCTATCACACATGGTATTTACACCAAGTAGTCTCCTTTATAACATTTACAACAATTGAAAATAATTATTTGTGAAACTATTTATTTCCTATTTCTCCTAATAGATTATAAGCTGCAAGAAAGCAGGGACTCTATTTGTCTGTTGTTCTGCAGATAATAAATATTTGTTGACTGAAGGACTGTGCTAAATACTCTAAAGACATTACCAAATTTAAATCCCCACAGATGCTGTATAAAATCAGAATTTATTAATCTCATTTACAAGTGGCAGTGTATCATTAACAATTAAGAGCTTCGATTCTGGAGCTAGACAGTCTGAGTTCAAATCCCAATTTTTCCACATACTGTGTGACATCAGGCCAATTACTTAACCTCTCTGGTCCTCGGGGCTATCACTTTTTTAAATGGGGATGATAACGTCATCCAAGTTATTTTAAATTCTAAATGAATTAATACCTGGAAAGTACTTAGAACTGTTTCCGACACACAGTGAACACTCAAAAGGTGATCAACAATGATTTTTTACAAGTGAGGAAACATATGCTCAGGAAGGTTAAGGAACATGCCCAGAGTCACACGGCTGGTTAAGTAACACAGGTGGTAGAACAGAGACTTGAGATCAAGTCTCTGTTCTACCATGAACCTAAGTTTGGCTTCAAAATTCACTGTTCCTTAACCATTATACAACAAAGTATTTGCTCTTCTCAACCTTTTAGCATTTCGTCCCGACATCCTAATTCTGATCTTTCTCCTTGTACCAAGACACCAGTCAGGACACCCAAACGCGGTCCTTTACCCCGTCATTCCGCACAGACGCCCGGCACACCTCAGCCCCTCCCTGCCCTTCAGGAGTCGGGCCCAGCAGCCCCTCGCTCCTCAGGTGACGGGACCCCCATCCTTCTGAGAGCCGCACCCAACTTCCACGCCACACACTGTCTCTCCATCCCCAGTCGCCCCCGCCATCCCCACGCCTTCTCATCCAAACCTCCCTCCACCCACCTCCCCACGCCCGTTCCGGGTCCTCCCATCCTTCCCATCCAATCCCGATCCCCACACACACGCCCCCGCCCCGAATCCATCTCGAGCCGGCCCACCCCACGCTAGCTCCAGGCCTTTCCGCCTGTGCCGCCGGCCCCTACCGCTCGGTCCAGACGCCGGAGGACGGTCTCGACCAGGTCTGGCACTTCACCGCCTAGGAGTCCGGCCGAGCAGCCCCGCGGGACGAGGCGGAGCGAGAGACGCGCGGGTCCTTCCCTTCAGGCGCCCGGCGGCTCGGCGGCCATTTTGTTATGTTATGCCGGTTGCCGAGGGCCGGCGCGCGCGTGGGCGGGGCCTGTCAGCCGCGCCAGTCCCCCGGAGCCGTTGGGAGGGGCGCGGAGGAGCTTCCCGCCAATTTTGCCGCCTCAGCCGCTGGCGCGCGAGGACGCGGGGAGGCTTGGGCGAGAACCTTCCTGTTGCTCGAGCCCGGCGGGCCGCGACGCCCTTGCCCTAGAGTGGCGATGCTGGGGAGGTCGCGTATGTCAGAGGTGAGATTTCTTGCGGCAGCCGCCCTTAAGGCCATTTCCCTTCGCTGAGGCGAAGCTGCAGACGCCTCGCTAGGAGACTCTGACAGGCTCCTCCTGGGCTGGCTGGGAGGGAGGACGAACTGCGGGACAGACGCGGCCCCGTCACAGGCTTCCTCCACTTCTGATGCTGACCGCTGGCCTGGAGCCCGTGCGCCTCGCACCGCGCCTCTTCTTGCACTGCTGCTTCTGAGGCCAATTCTCGCAATGGACCGAACAGACCAGGCATGGATGAACCTCACTGCGGACGCAGCTTGGGGTCCGGCTGTCACCCGAGGTTTAGGGAGCAAGACCGGGCTGAAAATCCCGGGCAGAGAGTATTCCTCGGGTTGGTACAGGGAAGCTAAAGCGAGGAGCATTTGCAGACTTCACCTGGGGCTTGCCCATAAGTGCTGCATTCACTACATGCATTAAACCCATGTTTTAAGAGAATTTAGCAGAGTCTGCTGGATGCTAGAGAAATACGGTGACTTTTTGTTTTTTGGGTTGTTTTTTTTTAAAAAACAGTCTCACTCTGTTGCCCCGGCTAGAGTGCCGTGGCGTCAGCCTCACTCACAGCAACCTCAAACTCCTGGGCTCAAGCAATCCTCCTGCCTCAGCCTTCTGAGTAACTAGGACTACAGGCATGTGCTACATGCCCGGCTAATTTTTTCTATTTTGGGTAGAGACGGGATCTCGCTCTTGCTTAGGCTGGTCTCAAACTCCTGAGCTCAAACAATCCTCCCGCCTCGGCTTCCCAGAGTGCTAGGATTACGGGCGTGAGCCACCGCGCCGGCCTACGGTGACTTTTTTAAAGCATTATCACCAGGGACACCTTTCACACCAACCTCCCATTTCCAAAGTATAACTTGGACCGTGTTACCGTCAGAGGCTGCACTATCTCCAGAAATCAATACTGTTTTAGAAATTCTCTCTGTGCCCCAGTTTCCTCACTGAAGTACTCAAACCTACTTCCTACAATCGTCCTGATAATAAGTTAAAGCACGTGAAAGAACTTAGAACAGTGTGCCCCAGTTTCCTCACTGAAGTACTCAAACCTACTTCCTACAATCGTCCTGATAATAAGTTAAAGCACGTGAAAGAACTTAGAACAGTGCCCGGCCCATAGTAGTTTCTTAATATGTTGTAGTTATTTTATTATTAGGCAAAGGTTTCTGAGAAGAAGTGATGTTTCATCCTAGGCCCAAAAGAAAAGAATTTAGTCAAGGAGTAAGGAGGTGGGGAAGAATTTGCTTGGCAAAGAGAACAACTTGTGCAAGTACCAGAAGGGGATGAAAGAGCTTGGCAATGTGCTGGATGTTAAGTAATTCAGTGTGGCTGGAACAAAACATAAGTAGTATGGAGACATTAAATAGTTCAATATGCCTCCTGCAAAAATCTGGGGTGGAGAAGTTAAAGGAAAAGGGACTTATAAATGTCATTAGACACTTCCTTTTTCCTTAAGGCAGAGATGGCTTCACCACAGGAAATCCAGGTGACTTCCAACCCAAGGGACACCATTCTCATTCACAGTTATGTGAATGATGCTCCCCCCTCCCCCCAACCTTGTTTATGCAACACAGAAGGAATCCCTTGGAGTTGAAAGCCAGAATTCCTGAAAAGCTCCACTGAAAATTAAAAGAAGATTGTATCCATTTTTAATGGAAGTTCAGATGATACTTATTAGTTGGAAATGTGACACTCATTATTTCCTTTTTCTTTTCCACCAGAGACTTGGATTTATTGTGTCACCTCGTAACTATGCCCCTCAAAGTCTGTAATGGTATTCAGGTGGGATCCATTGTCAAATCAATGTGTGCTAGTTTATGTAGTTCATTATCAATTTTATTAGAAGTCATCGAAAATACAAAGTCCAGAGGATGGTGCAAAACACTTATTTTTCCCTTGTGAAGTTCAGTCCATATCCAGTGAGCCTTGGATGGCATTCTACAATCCCATGTTGCCTGGTTTTCCTCTCATACAGATCCAGTACCCTCCACTGGTGTCTAGCTTGGTCTTTAAGGCAGCTCAGACCTTAGAGACTTCAAAAGAGAGAACTTTCTCTAATTAACTTGAATATTAATTGTCTCTATTAGCATGCTAAGAGAACCTCCCTCCCCAAAGCAGGAGTGAGGATAGAAAAGAATGAGGATAGCTCTTTCATTCCACAGTATTTTGTACTTATCCAACAATATGAAGAAGTTGTGGTTCTTTTGAGTTGCATTTACAATACAAATATCAGCCATGGCAGAGTGACCTAGCTATCCCTCAGTCCTTTTTTCTCCAAATGAAAGTAAAGCTATTCTGTTTGCTTTAATTTGCCTCCTCTTTTGCAACCGTATTTAATCATTTTGCAAATTTGCTTTAGAGAAGAACCAGACTAGCTTGTCAGGCAAGGATGGCAGCTTCCATTATTGTCATTTCTTTCTTTGACTTGCTAGTGTGATTTAAAAAAATAATTGAATTACAAATATATTTTAAATAAGTGTTTATTTTTAAAATCTCACAGAGTAAGCTATAATTTGCAATATAAAAGATCATGTACTATGTCTAAATGTAAGTTCTGCATTAGACACCTGTGACTATTGATATATGAAAATGACCTGATTCTGTACAAGAATATAGAATGATCTGCCACTGTCTGCAAAATACCAACTATCTTGGGCTGGCTAGTAAAGCACCTTATAATTTTTGCTCAATGCTGTGGGTCTATTTTTTGGTTTGGGATTTGTTGTTCATCTCTTCCTGATCTCTCTTTATTCATTTTGTCAGAGTATATATAAAAGCCCTACTATGTGCCAATTCTATGGGAATGCAGTGGTGAATGAGATGGACACAGTTTCTGTCCTCAATGAGATTATAGTCAACTGGGAAATACAAAAAAGTAAAACACTGTGAAAGTGGAGTAGAATTAGAAACTTAGTATTGTTCTGTGTGAATCCATATATGGATTAGAGTTCAGAATGGGAAGGACCTACAATATCCAGTGTTTCATAAAATCTGTACCCACGTTAACCCTGGGCTGTTTCTAGCACTAAGGTTTATGCAGGCATTGTGACTTAAAGAATTTGTGGCCTGCTCTGTGAGTTTGGATCTACTCTCAAGAGGACCAGGAGAAGGGTCTGTGTGCTCAGGTCCAAACCAGACCCAATCAGGCAAACAGGGGAAAATACCTTTACAATGGAAACTGAGGGAAGGAGAACTAAATCACCCTTTTATTTCATTAAAACATTTTTTTGACACCATATCCTCCCAAATCCCATTGTAATGATAGTAAAGGTATCTTCAAATGGGTCATGCTGTCATGTTTTTAATGTCTAAGAACTCATTTTGTTCTTTAATGTTCCTTTTTTATGGTATCCTAATCTTGCTTCGTGGTTACAATATCTTCCTTTCTCTTTATGAGTATATTGATGAAGGTTATTCTTTTTGGGGCAAGGGAGAAGAATAACTTCCACTTTGTGTAACCACTATTCCAAGTTTTTTGGTTTTTTCTGAATGTTTTGGTCCTTATCTTCCATGTTAAAGGCCTTCCTTAGGTGTCTGGTAATTCATTGTTTGGGGAGGGTAGATCTTTGGAATTTCTGTTTTGGACATAGTAAGTTTTTAAACATACTAATTAGATATACAAGTGAAGATTTTGAATAAGGCAATTAGAAGTACAATTTTGTGCTTAGGAGAGATTTCTAGGGAATTAAATGTAGGTGTGTTGGTATATATAATTGATATCCCAATGTAAATAAGTTGGTGAGATTGCCTTGTAAGTGAATGTAGGTAGGAAAGAGGTCTGAGGCCTGAATGCTGGGGCACTCCAACATTCAAGAAGAGAGGTTCCCATTGAAGAGATAAATTTGGAAGCTGGCAGTAGAGAAATGGCATTTGAAGTGATGACTTTAACCTTGTGAAGAAAATGTAGGAAATTATAGTTTTCCACGGTAACTTGAAATAGCCAAGTTGTGCAAGTGAAGAGCCTGCTGAATTCTGTATCTTTGAAAGGAACACAGGTAAGTACTTTCCTCATTCTCTCTTTAACTGCTAAAATAGTCATAAAACAACCCAGAGATTTTCAACCAAGGACCATTTTGCCCTTCCCTGACCAGGGGACATTTGCCAATGTTGAGGACATTTTGTCTTCAGGACTGGGAAGGCTCTACTGACATCTAGTGGGTGGAGGCCAGACATACTGCTAAGTGGCCTGCAGGGCACAGGTCCGCTGCTCCTAACAGTCTTTCAGCCCAAAATGTCAATAGTGTTGAGGTTGAGAAACATTGACATAACCTACCAGTACTAATTTTTTCTCCCTTCTATTTGTCACAAGGTGAGGGCAAAAACTCTAAAGGTTTTAATATTTGAGAATGTCAAATGTTTGTGACCTAAGTTACATAAGTACTGATAATAGTGTGAAATTTGACCAGAAAGGTTTTTTTTTTTTCCTCCAAATCTTTGTCACTATGTTTATTCCTTCTTGGTGAAAATGTGAGCCCATTTATAGGACTGAGTACAAAACCACAAACACAAATTGTCCTTTTGTGGCCAACATTTTTAAACCTGCATGAGAAGAATTGACACAATGCTAAGTATGCCCTTCAAATACAGTACTTTTTATCCTTCAGATGATGAAGAAAATTTTGCTGAGACAATTGGCCAAAAACTAAAACACAGGTACAGTCACTCATTAGAAATGAGAATGTTTTCTGTTACTATTGGTCTGAAAATGTTCTGGACTGGAGTAATGCTAGATTTATCAGTTGTACCCACTGCAGTCTATATATCCCTTTACATTAAACCATCGTTTTCAATGCATTATTGATTAGTAATTTTCCTATCATTGTCCTTGCAGTATTCTGCTTGATATGGTTCAGAGCTCAGACAGTGGTTTAAATATTAGCCCACTGGCTAATATTTCAGTCCAGTTCAGAGGATGTATATGAATGTCAGCAACTTTACTTCCATGAGAATATTCATTCACTATTCATATTAATACAATTTCGTTAATCTAGTTTTGCAGTTATGAGACTTCTGTCTAACACACTATCAAAATCTAATGCTCCCATGGCAGATTATTTTCAAAAATTGCTGCTGTGAATGAATGTGTGAAATACCAGGGTTTTTAGCCATTTCTGTTTGCATTTTACCTTGGAAAATAATTTTACTAATATTTTGCATGTACTACCTACCTATTCTTTTGATGGAACAATGAATATAATTAGGTCCTAAAGAGATGGCAACATCCTCAGAATCAGAGCAGTAAGGTCAAAATGTCCTTCTTAGTTTCCCATTACATGCAAAATAAAGTCCAGACTCCTGAGCATGGCATTCAAAGCCATACACAATCTTCAGCCTACCTTTTAAAATCTCCCTGGCCCACCTGATCATTCATTCATTTATTCATTCATTTGGCAGCAATTTGTTGGGTGTCTAATTGTCTTTTAGGCACTTTGATAAGTTCTGAGTTGTGTTTCCAATGTATACATTAGGCCTGTCATCATGGAACTTATAGCCTAGAGGGGAAAATAGACAAATGAAGAGGCAATTATAAAACCCATCTCCCAAACCACCAGCCACCCAAACTATACCTAGAGATTTGTAGTGCAGTATGGGTCCATGCATGCAATTGGGGGCAGGTTGAAGGAAGCCTGACATCAATAGCTTCATAGCTTCCTTGGCCACATCCTGGACATTTCTAGTTCTAGAATTCCTGGAAACACCTGATCGTTTGGGAAATAGCCTTGGGATTTCAGATCTACTCTAAAGAGGATCAGTACAGGCCTCATGGGCCTAATTCAAACCAGACCCACTCTAAGGAAGCCTCTGAACCATCTCTAGATGGAGTCCAGGATAATAGTTTTCTCCCATGTTCTTTAAATTTAGAGTGGCTCCCTAGAAGCAGAGACTTGAGGCAGGGAGACATTCTCAGGCAAGTGGATGATTGAGAGACAACTCTCAAGAGAAACCTGTAAGTAGTGAGGAAAGCAGGACAGGGCAGGGAAGAAGCAAAGCAAAGATGTGGTTTCAGCTAAAGTCTAACCTCAGCCTGATCCTAGTGGGGCTGTAGAACATGAATGGTTCCACAAATTTGGCCCATCTTGAGACAAGGGAGCTAGCCTGTTTTAACCTCAGAATCAGTCAGTCATTGACTGTGGACCAATTCTGGGGAGAGAATGTAATTTCCAAGGCATTTCTGGTTAAGATATCTTTCATGGCTGAGGTGAATTACATGGACAAGGATGCAGTCAAGAAACTTTAGCAACCAACACTCACAGCATCTGTAGGATGGGTGTAGCTTCCCAATAAAGGGGGGAACTGGTTAGGGAATCAACTACATCTACTATACCTAGAAAATGTGCAAGACCAGAGTGCCTTTAAATATTTTGCATCTGTGTCCAGCTTTGAAACATTTTCCTTGGGTGTCTTTTGCACTTTACTCATCAAAATCAAAATCAAGTTTCTCTGCTTTGAATTCCAGAACTACCTGTGGACATTAAAAACTTACCATTTAAATTCTTGGGTTTTCTTCTCAGTGATCCCACTATCTGACATTAATAATTAACCTGAGGACTAATTTAACAAATTCTTCAAGCTGAGTTCACAAAAAGGAGGGCACTTTCAAGAAAGGTTGTGTCAATGATCTAATGCTTTCCCAGCCATGGACATTTTAAGCATAGTCTGTATTTTTTTTTACTTGGGAAGAATTTGGGGACAGGAGCAAACGTGAGTAAAGGACACCATTTTCATTTGAAATGTATCTTGGTTGTATTTTTACAGAAAGAATTCAAATCAATGCCACATAAAATTAACTTTCTATTTCTGAGAACTCCAAGAGAATTTCCTCTTTTCTCTATCATCCAATACTGCTACACTGTTTTTTTAAAATATGAGTACTTGTAAACGATGCATGACTTATATTCTAATACTCTGTGTTTTGCCTAGGCTGTCGCCATGCCCCCAGGAATAGTAACTTCCTGATTGGTATTTTGTTTGAAAATGGATTCTTCAAAAGACAGAAGTGTGGTTCCTATTTGCACCTTTTATAGGGGACTCAATTAAACATTTCCCTGGCTGCAACTAATTAAGATCACTTCTATCTGCCCCCTTGAAATCTCATCCTTTGGATGCTTTCTGGAAGCTATTCTGGCTTTACCATAGATAACAAAATTTTGAGAAATATATCATTGAAGAAATTCTGATAATTTATATTGGTTCTCCTAAGTGAAAAATATTTTAAAATTATCTTTTATTAGCAGGTTGACTCTATAATTTTACCATTTCAATAGGTATGTTGTCTCAGCACCAAAAGAGTTCTATGTTGGAGCCTCTGAAAATGTAGTAGTTCAAGTTTATGGATACACAGAATCATTTGCTGTGACTATTGCTATTAAAAGTTATCCTGAAAAAAGTTTTACGTATTCTTTTGGCCAAGTTACTGTATCTCCAGAAAATAAATTCCACAATTCTTCAAGCTTAACTGTAGGTATTCATCTCACATTTTTTTTTTATATGTCAAATGGTTCTTTGTAAAATATACACATAGATGGTACATTGATCCATTTTACACATGTGGATAAAAATGTGATATATCATGCTATTAAGTAAGTTCACTAGTTGATGTGAGATAAGTGCCATATGTTTATATGCATAAGTAATGGGAAATGTCAAACAAATAATCTGTTCTGGTTTGGGGACAATGTAAAGAAATGTAAAAGTCTAAATGAAGCAGGTAAAGGTTATTAATGTGAAAAGATTCAATGACATAAATTGAAAACTAAATGAATCAATACATATAATTGTTTTCAAATGACATGATGAAACAAGAGGTAATTTAGATATTTGATTACATAATAGGTGTTAAAAAATATATATATATATACACACAAACATGCAAACACACACAAGTCTGGCTCTGTTCTAAAAACTTCAGAGAAATGAATGGAGAATATTTTGAACATTTATTTTCCTTGACTATATACTACAAAATTCTAATTACATGGCTCTCTGAAAAATTTTTTTTCACTAAAATATGTATCTATCATAGACTTTTTATACTTTCTCCTTGGACTTGAACCAATCGAATTTTCTTTCAAATAAATTCATGAACAATGTTTATGGAAAATTAGAGAAGTGTCCACAACCTTATTATTATAAAATATACTGACCTAATGCAATATGTTTGAAAAGGGTCACATATTAATTATACTGTGAACAATAGACATAAAAATATTAGTAAGGGAAATATTTAGACTGTTGGTATAAGTCCCAATATAATTGGTATGATTTAGACTTTTGGTATAAGTCCCAATATAATAATAATAAATATAAAGAATACTTTGTTCATTTATATTACTATGTGAAAAGTTATTTAGTCCACTCTCTGCTTTACCTATGAATTCTACTATCTTTATTCTTCCGCATCTTCATTGCTGATAAATGTTTGAACTTTTGAAATTTTCTTAATGACTTTGGTTATTTTGTCTATTAAAAATTGAATTTTTTCAGTGATTGTCATTTGTAATAGACATTCAGTCTGGATCAATTTTTAAAAAGTAATTGTTTCAAACTAAATTTTATGAGAAGCTAAAATACAGAGATGTTCTTGGAGAAAAATAAATTTACTGTTTTATTTTATACAATTTTTATGTTTGTTGAATATAGACAATTATTCAAATTATTAGCAAAGATATCTAAAAGGCAATGCTCTTATTTTTATTTTTGGATTATTGTATAATAGTCCTCCATTAATTTTTTTCAAAACAGATACAGCCAAAAGATTTATCTGGAGGGCCAAATGCAGTTTCACATGTATATTTAGAAGTCATGTCTGTCCATTTTTCAAAATCAATGAAAGTTCCACTACGCTATGACAATGGATTTCTTTTCATTCAGACAGACAGATCTGCTTATACCTCAGAACAGACAGGTATGATAAAGAGGCAATTTTATTCCATGAGGGAAAAGTGAGATCTGAAGAATGTTTTGGGGACAACTGGCTTATCTTTTGGGGAAAAAATGAAGATAATATCTTACTTTATATCATACACAAAACTAAAGAGATTATGAACTAAAAATTAAATTGTAAATTTTAAAAACAAGAATAAGCAAAATATAATAGTATATATTTTTAGGCTCCTTTCAAAATGGTTTTTTAAAAAGCCCTAAAGTGATACATTGTAGAACTAAGGTTAATACAGAGACTGAATTTTAATTTGAAAAAAAAAAATCTTACTTTTCATTCTTAATATCTCTTTTTACAAATAATATTTCAATTTCATATTAATGTTGAAAATTGTGAACTACATCACAAAATCTACCCAAGAATATCTGCCTCCTTATGTTTAGTTGGAGAAGGTTTCAGTCTTCTTTCAGTAAATTTCTTCTGTCAAATTACCTAAAGGGAGGCAAGGGAAGTCGAGTTAATGAGGGTGTACTGAAGGCAGCAGCACTTTATGAATGGCCACAGAAGATCATGGTGATGGTGATGATGCTAATTAGGTGAAATAAGATGGAGATCATTGTCATAATTTTAGCAAGAAGACAAGGTCCCTGCCAGAAGATATGAACTTGGCCTTAGACAGGATTAGAACTGTCTTTTGGATGCCTGATCAGGGGATGACTATGTACCTAAGGAAAGAGGTTGTGCCTGTGATGCTCTCACCCTTCTAGGTGCTCAAGTACTTACTTAGTCATACTTAGAGACACTCAGATTCTTGCCAGCATCTTCCTCTGAGTTAGAGAATGCTTTATTGATGGGGTTTTGTTGACATAACTTATTGCTTCAGTTCTTCTTCATTGGCTTTATAATACCTTCAGATACCAGTGAGCTGTAGCCTTTCTTATCTGTCAGTGGTTTAAAAATGTAAAAAGATTGAATAAAAATAGTTCTTAATGAGTCAACTCATTTAAATGCATAAATAGATATATTTAAAAGAACCCATTCAGGAAATTTTTGTGAAAAGAATTTTTTCTCCTTTAGTATAAAGTTAAGATCCAATATCCTAATTCATCTTTCCTTTTAGGCTTGGATTTTATGCCTTGAGCTTTCTTAATTTTATTTTTGATTTCATGGTCTTTGTGTTATAGAGTTATTAATAATGTTGTCAGATCACTTAGAGTTGCGTAGAGTTTCTGACAATGACAATTTTTCTTACAGTTAAAGTTAGAGTTTATTCACTGGATGAAGACCTAAAGCCATCTCAAAAAGAAGTTACCTTAACCTTTATAGTGAGTATATCATTAATTTAAATCCAAATTTAACCTTGGTATTTCCATTATATGAATAAAGAGTTTTCATTATTATAAAACTAGTCATGTATGGCATTAATTTATTCAATATTAAATAGTAGCAGGCATTTATTCGGTATCTACTATGGATACAACCTCGTAATTTTATACTTTTTTAATGCTAATTGGCAATTTTTGCATATAAATTAAATGTCAATTGAAATATATTTTGATAGCACCATTAAAGAGCACCTTTTGTGACCCTGTCTCTAAAGTGGGTCAGTTAATCAGTTTGTATCCTCTTGCTATCTGTAAGGCATGGGTGGATGTGGTGAGGATAATAGAAGCATAAAATATGATACCTGTGAGAAGTGCATAGCATTTACTATATCCTCATGACAACCATGTAAGATTAATAGAATTATAATCCCCATTTTAGAGATGAAGAGGCTAAGAGTTAGAGAAATTAAATAACCACTAAGATCACATCAGTAATAATTAGCTGAATCGGGATTCAAACCAAAGTCCATCTATCTCCAGAGCCTCAGCACCTAGCTTCTCCATTTATTTGGGGATTACGGGGTATGTCACTCCATGAACATTTGAGTTCAGAACGCCAGACAAGCACACATAATGCAGCAAACCAAGTAAGGGATGATGTAGGACAAATAACAGACCAGCATGAAGGGGAGGCAAAGCTGGCAATAATGTGCCCCCTCTCTGGAGAGAATTATTAAGGACAAGGGTAAGTCCTGAGCTGGGTATTAAAGGAAACCATAGAGAGGGTTTGATAAAAAGAAGCTGGACAATGTCTCAGGTGGCCTGCAGAAAAGTAGAGTTCTGCAGCCACGGAGATGACCATGACAGTGGCTTTGCCCTAGAAGACTGGCCTACAAACACTTTATAGAGACAGTGGCAGCTTTGGTGTATTAGTTTACATTTGGGGAGTTGTGGTGGGACAGACAAAGTCAAGTGAACCTATTGTAAAGGTGAGTTCCCCATGGAGAGAAGAGACTGAACAGGTCAGAGGCGATTGTTGTGGCATGTCCAGATGTGTTCAGGTTTGATATCAAAGATGACAGGGAGCCTTTTGACCATAGCAGTCACTTTATGAAAACAGTGTTTGAGGAAGATAATCCCAGAAGTCCTGTTCAGGATGAAGGGAAATGGGAAGAGATATACTAGGAGTTTATTTAACATGATCTTAAATATTAACTATGCTACTTATGCCTGTTCAGAGTACATACTACTGTACTGTGCTTAGAAAGTAGTTTGTGTTAACAAGCCTGACCTGTGCCAGTTATTGCCTCAATATTAGGCCAAACTGCATGTGCTTAGTTTCAACATTTCTTAGAACATATTAGTAAATACTCCTCTAAGAACTATAAATCACTTACTATGTTTATATTTGACTTTTGTATTTACAGGTTGTTAAAAAGAAAAACGTAAAACTTGTATTTTGTTTTTCTTTTCACTTAAAGGATCCAGAAGGGTCAGAAATTGCCATCGTAGGGGGAAAAAATTATACTGGAATTATTACTTTTCCTGACTTCGAGATTCCATCTAATCCTAAGTATTTTAAATTATTTGTTGGTAAAGTTGTTTCTCTTAAAAGTAGTAGAGTTGCCTGGGGTTATTGAACTGTCCAGTGGAGCTATTTGCATGTAACTGAAAGGTGTTGATATAAAAAAAATGTTTGGTTTTGGTTATTCTTATCAGACCTAGTAAGTGTCCTAACCTAAAAGAAGGTGGCAACTGTTTGGGCTCTTTTGCTTTGAGTTAAGGGGCCTGGTATAATACTGCCAGCTGTAAGTACCAAGCTAGTCTGCTCTATTCTATGTAGCCAGCACCTCCCATGGTAAAGTCCAGGTAGTGACACTAGGGGGTTATGGAACCTGCCCACAAAATGCTGACAGTACAATAGAAAAGAGAAATAAAAGTACAAATAGAAGATGTCCACTTACATGTGTTTAATATTCCTTAGAGGTTTTGGAATTTTCTCTGACATCTTAGTTCATATTCCTAGAACTTGAAAGGTATTTTGAAATATGATTTGGGTCTTTTATATTGCATAAATCCTTGAAAATGTAACACTTCAAAAATGTAAGGGAACTGACATTTACGCATCTCCTACTATGTGCCAAGCATTTGCTGGTTCCTTTATCATTCCAATTTTCAAGATAAGTAAACTAAGACTCAGAGAAATTTATAGGCCTATTTCAAGGTCATACAACCATTAAAAAGGGGGTGGGTGCTGAAGTAGGAACCTAGATCTCTTTGAGGGTAAAGTTCATCCTTGCTTTCTGCTTCTATCATACTGCCCCTCTAAAAATAATTTCATGCTGGCCTAAAGTTGTAAGTTTAACCTGATCAAATGGTCCTAGAAATGTAGTTCTGATTTTCTGGCAAACCATGTTGTATACAGTATTCTATTTATTGATATAAGTTTGATTAAGCTTCAAGATTGGTTTATCAACTGAATAATCAATGCTTTAAATTAAAAATATTTTTCTAATTAAATGAGAGTCGGTAACATGAAAATAAATTTTAGTGTGTTTATAATTTTTCTTGAAGTGTTTTTGTTTATAATTTTAAAACATCTAACATTAGTTAGGTTGTACATAAATCTGAAGCTATTGTCAGGGTCATGTAAGTTGTGGTCAAGGACTTTGGAGCCAGAATGATCACGTTGGAGTTCTAGCTTCACCATCGACTAGCTGTGTATCCTTGGAGCAAGTTATTAATATTTCACCTCTCTAGGCTTCAGTTTTCTCATGGTAAAATATGGAAAATGATATGACCTTTTCTATAGCATTTGTGTGTGGATTGAATGAGCTAATACACGTAAAGCACTTAGAACAGCACTTGGCCCATACTAAGTGTTCCTTTGAATATTAGCTACAATCACTGAGTGAATTAAAGATATATTATTTGATGATACCTAAAATTTTAAATGTGTTGCTTTCATAGATACGGTTTGTGGACAATTAAAGCAAAATACAAAGAGGACTTCACAACAACAGGAACTGCATATTTTGAAATTAAAAGCCATGGTAATATCTTATAAATAACTGAGATTTCCAATGTGTGCTTTAAAAATCTGCTCTCAATTGTGTAGAATAAAAAATTGGTAAAGAATAAAGAAGGGGCATGAGGTATGGTGGACAGAGGTGGACTGGAAGTCAGAAGGCCAAGGACCTGGGGCTTTCCATCTGATTCACCTCAATTCTGTCATTGAATTCACTGGGCCTTGTTTTCCTCATCATAGTTCTACAGGGGGTTAAATCCAAGGAGAGGGTAAGAATAGATAATGTCCTTGTAAGATATATGGTTCTCTGACACTGTTAGACAGACTGTGTAGTCCAGGTTCTTCTTCTTTTTTTTTTTTTTTTTGAGACAATGTCTCACTTTGTTGCCTGGGCTAGAGTGCCATGGCATCAGCCTAGCTCACAGCAACCTCAAACTCCTGGGCTCAAGCGATCCTCCTGCCTCAACCTCCCCGGTATCTGGGGCTACAGGCATGCGCCACCATGCCTGGCTAATTTTTTCTATATATTTTTAGCTGTCCAAGTAATTTCTTTCTATTTTTAGTAGAGATGGGGTCTCATTCTTGCTCAGACTGGTCTTGAACTCCCGAAGTCAAATGATCCACCCGCCTCGGCCTCCCAGAGTGCCAGGATTACAGGCGTGAGCCACCACGCTGGGCCTCTTGTCCAGATTCTTAATAAACACTTTGCCTGGACTGAGAACCAAATGCCACCTTTGAACCCAACCACCATGCTCCTTCCCATAAGCCCTAAAAATCAATGGTGTGTTTGGAAAATTACAATGTTTGGTAAAAAGCATAGGATCCTTATTTTTGAACTATTCATATTAATTGCACAAATCTGTTCATCTCTCATAGGAACTTACTAGAACATTAACTTGTATGCTCTCATGTTAACTTGTTATTAAGCTTTTCAAGCCATTTTTTCTGCCCACCAGAATGATGAGGAGGCAGATAGGTATTTACCAATTACCTAGGAGGCAGAAGAGGAGAGCAAACACACGTAAAACTTTGAAATATTTGACATGCTTTAAAACCACAGTAACAAAATTCCCTCTGAAGCAATGAAACTCAACTTCGGAGTTGCTGATTAAAGTCTCTTGGACTCTGTTCATAGTTACAAAATCTTTGCTGTTTTTGCCTGTACCCTGGAGGGCAATTTCCTCTAGCAGAGAGAGAAGCAGCAGAGCAGTGGCTTTGCCTTTCTATTAATATAGCCAGCCCTCACCACCTACTCTGGTGACCCTGGAGCCAAGTCTCCCTTCTCTTTAAAGGGTGGCCTTCTCCTATTGGGTTAAGCAGCCTGTAGACCAGGGCATGGTAAATACAACTGCGAAGCCTAACATCACTTCGTGAATAGGCATAAGGAAAAGACATAGCCTCGCGTAAGCAGTCAAAAAGGAATTATTTGTGAATTATAGTTTCAAAGAGATGGAAAGTTTAAAACTTTCCTTTGTTCTAATTCTCATTTTTGTAAGAAAGTAATTTTCTACAGCTAATAACTAGATGTTTTTCCTAGATGAGAATTTGAGATTTATGCTTGTATTTTTAGCACTGAAATGGAAGAGAGATGCTAAAGAAACAAGAAATTTCCAGTTTAACAAACATTTACCAAACCCTTACTATATGAAAGGCATGGGACAAGGTTTACACAGATAAACAAGATCAGGACTTTGTCCTTATAGAGTTCATACTCTGTCAGCAACATGGGTGGTTTTAATCTCCTGTTAGAGCAGAAACATGAGATCAATTCCTGACCAGAAGATCTAGAGGCTTCCCAGGAATATTGATGTTGCTAATGTTTACCTGTCCTATTGTACCCAAAAGCTTCTTGCTTGAAATATAATTTCAACCATATCATTTTTCTGGCTTAGGTTTACATTTGGTGCAACCACACTTTTCTGTCTCAATAGAACCAGAAAATTATTTCATTAGCCATAAACACTTTGAGGACTTCAAGATTACTATAAAAGCTAGGTAAGAAACTTTTTGTTTTCAGACTCATCTAGCCCCTGAAGGGAAAACAGGGCTCTTTTCAAGAATTAAATATGACTGGATTGGTAGTACTTGTCTAGGGCCCTATGTTGTGAAAGATTTTGAGATTTAATGTAACAAATACTGTGATTAATACTATCTGCCATTGTTGTGATTAATGGCATTGTTGTGATTAATACTATCTGCCATTAGTACTATCTGCCATTGTTAATACTATCTGCCTCCAAGTGGGTCCAAGGAGGTTTGCCTGAAGTCTATTTGCTGATTCCAATCTTGCCATTGTTTTGTTATTTCATAGAATCCTAAAGATTGAATATCATAGTGACAATTCAGGTGACTGCACTACTCAAGTTTTAAAAATTTAACTTGAAAACATTCACTTATTTCTTATTTGTGACCTAGTTAATATTAAGAGATCACACAACTTAATTACCAAAAGCAATTATAAAATTGATTTAACTGGCTCAGAAATTGCACTTGGCAGATGAGCTATGGAAAATTGCTTGCTAAAGGGGACATTGGATTGCCTGTTTTTATTTATTTATTTAGAGACAGAGTCTCACTCTTGCTTGGGCTGGTCTCGAAATCCTGAGCTCAAGCAATCCTCCTGCCTCGGCTTCCCAGAGTACTAGGATTAGAGGCGTGAGCCACTACGCCCAGCCCTGTTTTATATTTAAATAGGGAAAGTTCATGTTTTTCTTTGACTCAAAAGGCACATATGGGGCCTTTACCCTTTTTGCTAAAAGGAGCAATAGGGAGTTTGTCCCTGTTGTTGCCACACCATGTTACAGTCATAGTAGAAGTGTGGCCCCATACAAAGAAACCTGGGTCCTAAGCTCAGTTCTCCACTAATTCACTATGAACATAAAAACTGTGGGATAGCTGGGTGCAGTGGCTCATGCCTATAATCCTAGCACTCTGGGAGGCCGAGGTAGGAGGATCACTCAAGGTCAGGAGTTCAAAACCAGCCTGAGCAAGAGCGAGACTCCATCTCTACTAAAAAAAATAGAAAGAAATTAATTGGCCAACTAAAAATATATATAGAAAAAATATATAGAAAAATATATAGAAAAAATATATAGAAAAAAATATATAGAAAATATAAAATAAAATAAAATAAAATATATAAAATATATAGAATATATATAAAATATATAGAAAAAAATATATAGAAAAAAAAATTAGCCGGGCATGGTGGCACATGCCTGTAGTCCCAGCTACGGGAGGCTGAGGCAGGAGGATCGCTTGAGCCCAGGAGTTTGAGGTTGCTGTGAGCTAGGCTGATGCTACGGCACTTTGGCCTAGGCAACAGAGTAAGACTCTTGTCTCAAAAAAAACCTAAAAAAAACACAAAACTGTAGGAAGTTGGGAAAGTTCTTTTCACCTCTGTGAGATTCAGTTTTCTCACTTATTGATAGGAATAAAAATACCTACCTTACCTCTGCCACTGCAGAGTATAAAGATGAAATACCAAACTGGATGTAAGCACCATTTCAAGGGTAAAAAACAAATTTCACATGGTTATGTTTTATCTACATCTCATTACTATAATGGCTTTGTCAAAAAGGGGTTAATTATATTCTCTTTTGACAGATATTCTTATAATAAGAATGTAACTGAGGCTGAAGTGGCTGTCTTTTTTGGAATAAAGAAAGATTTAAATGATAGTAGGAAAGAAAGGATGCATAAAGCAACACAAAAGACACAGGTATGAACAGATCAAGCTGCATTCACAGAAATGGAAAATTGGGGGCATTTCATCAGAGTATAGAGATTAGAAATGGGCTTTTACTCCCAAGTGTTCATAGAACTAAAAAAAAAAACCCAAATAATAGTACTTTGGGATTGGGCAGATTGCACGGGTGGAAGCAGGTAAGTCACAATGCCATTTGTCTTCAATTGGAGGCTTGAGTTTACAAAATGTACTTTCCAAAGCAGTCTTATTTTTATTTTATTTTGTTTTATTTTTTGGTATTCATTTATTTTTATTTATTTATTTTTATTTCAGAATATTACAAGGGTATAAATGTTTTGGTTAAATGAATTACTTTTGTACAGTTTGAGTCAAAGGTATAAGTGCATCCATCTCCCAGATAGTGTGCATTGTACCTGCTGGATATGAATTTACCCATTCGCTTTTCCCCTCTCCCACCTGCTTGATTTCCATTGAATTTTACTACCATATGTACATTTGAGTGTTGATCATTCAGTTCCAATTTAATACAGAGTACATGTGGTGTTTGTTTTTCCATTCTTGCGATACTTCACTTAGAAGGATAGTCTCCAGTTCCATCTAGGAACCTTATTACAAAAGGTATTAGTTCATTTTTTTATGACTGTTACTCAGCCATATGTATAATCCATAGTATACATGTACATATTTTATTAATTCACTTATGTATTGACGGGCATGTGGGTTGTTTCCACATCTTTGCAATTTTGAATTGTGCTGCCATAAACATTTAGGTGTAAGGGTCTTCTTTTATAAAATGTCTTTTTTCCCTTTGGGTATATACCCAGTAATGGGATTGCTGGATCAAATTGTAGGTCTAGGCAGTCTTATTTTTTATCAACATGACATCCTGGATTTTAGATAAAGTTCCATCAGGTAGATAATGATACCCAAATTATAGCTGCAGACTCTGAACAGGGTGAGACACAATTTTGAATCAGAGATTTTCAGTCTCACCCAGGGTTCTTTCTCCATGATCCTACAATATGGTCTGAGGGCTTGGGCTTAAAATAAATGACCTAAATATTAATAAATTATAAGTATACCTCATAGGATTGAGTTTACACTTTGTATTACCATTAGCTGTAACCACAATGTCATTGCCAAGTAAAGATTTTGCTGGCTGATAAAATCTTCAAAATTTGTTATTTCCTCTCTGAGTTCTTCTCTAATATAGCTTCTACCTTTTTGTCCCCCTTTTGAAAAACAGCTGGTTGATGGAGTTGCACAAATCAATTTTAATACTTTAAAGGCAATTAAAAACCTGTCATATAAAAGTCTAGAAGACTTAAATAACAAGTACCTTAGTATTTTTGTGAAAGTACAAGTAAGTACAGGTGAGTTCCTAAACTAATCTATAAATTCACTTCTCACAGTTCTTTCTTATTCCAAAATTTGGATAGAAACCTGGAACTTATTATTGGTGCAATGTTGGGAAAGTACAGTTGCCAGATACAGTCTACCAAAATACTGTCCACCAGCTCTGTGTAGGAGAAATGCTCACAAAGACATCTTTATGGGGTGGTGACCCCCTACTCCCACATACATGGGATAGCCTTTTATGTTATTAAAAAGAACAGGTAATACTGGTACCATAAAATTTTACTTACAACAAACAAATGAGATAGTAAAATTACTCACATCATGAGGGGATCCACAAGTCATCTGAGTGTTAGCGTACATATTATTAAATATTTAACATGTATCTTTTACCATACTACCTGGTATTTGCTTGAATGTTGCCTTGGAAATAAGAGCCAGCTGTTTCACATGTGAGTGTGTCTTCTAACCACTTATTGTTAGATACTGAACTTTTGGTTCAGTGGTTGAATTGTCAACCACTTGAGGGCATGAGACTCTGTTCTGGTTATTAAAAGGAAAAAAATGGAATAAATGATCTGACAAATGGTCTGGAACAGGACACTGTAGTTGAAACACATGAATGGGCATCTTTCCAACCTCCTGCAAACAGTGCTTTACTGGTTCACAGAGTGATCGGGATTTTCTAGAGCGACCACAGCAATCATCTAGACTTAGATTAATAACTGCATGCAAAATGACCAAAGATTGGATGAATGGCTTGTCCTTATCCAAATAAAGAGATACATAGGAACAGAGTGGGTACCCACAAAGATCACAGTATTACCTTGTACTTGCCAAATTCTTAAAGCAATGTGTGTTATTCCATTAGGTGGATTCTTCAAAGAAACCAAAGTAATTGATGTCAAATACGTCCTCTTTCCCTACAAACTGAATTTGGTTGCTACACCTCTTTTCCTGAAGCCGGGGATTCCATATTCCATCAAGGTTAGATGATTAGAAAATCTAATATGGCTGTATTTCCCCATTTACTGGTAGGTTACTTCATCTGTGGAAGGACAGAGGAAAAGGATTTTAGAGAGATCTTGTTCTTTGTGACCTCTGATGTAGACACTTAAATGGAGAAGAGACTGGGTCTGGATAGGTGGTGAGGAATAGAACAAGGCAGCCACCAAGGCTGTGGTAGAAAACAAGAGCCCAGATCCAGGCCTGGTAATAATTTCACCCACCCAGTGGCTTATGTACAAGTACATAGAATAGTGTCCTGCCCTTATTAAACATTTAATAACTAGACATTGAATTGAATTAAATGTAATTCATATCATATATGCTTGAAGTAATAACAATACAACCTTAAGACAATCCTATTTGACTACTGAGTTAAATCCTACCAAATTTGTGCACAAGCACAAAGGAGGGAATTATTTTAGGATTTTATTGTTGTAAAAGAATATTAACTGTTGAAATGAATTTGGTCCAACAGGTGCAAGTGAAGGATGTCTTTGCCCATTTTGTAGGAGGGATTGCAATAACCTTGAAAGCAAAAACAGTTAACAAAACTCAGGAGAAAACAGATGTCGATCTAAGGAAAGGTACAACAGATTATCATAATGGAGTAGCTTCATTTGTGGTTAACATTCCTACTGATGTGACAGCACTAGAGTTTCACGTGAGCAAAATTCTCATTTGTTGTATTTTCTAATATTGCCACAGTCTGTGTAGCAGCTAGTGTACAGGACAGATAGGGAAGATTTTATGTGTAAGTCTAATGAAATGCTCTGAAACATTTGACCTATGGACATAGAAAATACAATTTAGTGTGCTGAACATTCCATAAAGGGTATGAGTCTATCAATTTTGTATTTAGGAAATAATTTTCTCTTCTTGTGCCAAACACAAGACTATCAAAATCTGGATAACTTAGAATAAGAACTCGAAGAATACAAATGGAATCTTTTCTTATCCGTTATTTCCAGCTATTATCATCTCTCCCCCTTCACCTGTGAATTCCGTTAAAGATTTGCCTGCATTCCCTTTTCCCCTTTCACATTTTCAGTCCTTACCTTTCTTGCCTTCTCTAAGATACTCAACACAATTGACCATTGTCTTTTTCTTTAAATAATCTATTGTGGCCTCTATCACTTCCTGTTTCCTTGCTTTTAATTTTTCTTAAAGAGAGAGATCTTATATAGTTTCGTGGAATGTAAATTAGTACAACTGTATGAAAAACAGTATGGAGATTCCTCAAAGAACTAAAATAGACCTACTATTCAATCCAGCAATCCACTATGGGTATCTTCCAAAGGAAAAGAAGTCATTATATCAAAAAGACACCTGCACTTGTATGTTTATTGCAGCACAATTTACAATACAAGATATGAAACCAATCTCTCTGTCCATCAACTGATGAGTGGGATAACGAAAATTGGTCTAATATACTATCTTCACAATAAATACTAAATAATACGTATAAGTATATATACACATACATATATGATATATATAATCATATATAATGAATGAAATAGTGACTTTGCAGCAACTTGGATGGAACAGGAGACCATTACCCTAAGTGAAGTATCTCAGGAAAGAAACTACGCCTGTTTCACTTATAAGTGGGAACTAAACAATGGTATACATAGTCACAGAAAGTGGTATAATGGATATTGGAAACTAAGAAGGGGATGAACGATCAAAATTACTTTGGTACAATGTACACTATTTGGTGATGGACCACTAAAAGCCCTGACTTTATCACTATACAATATCCATGTAACAAAAATACTTGTACCCTAAATTATAAAAGAAATAATATGCATATATATACACACATATATAATAGATACATTTTCTTTATATTTATATATAAAGAAAATTCTGCATATGTGACAACATGGTGAACCTTCAGGATATTATGCAACGGGAAATAAGCCAGTCACAGAAGAAAATAATGCATGATACTTACATGAGGGATCTAAATAGTCAAATTCATAGCATCTGAGAGTAGAATGGGAGTTGCCAGGGGGTGAGAGTAGGGAATTGGAAGTTACTAATCAAAGCACATAAAGTTTCAGTTAAGCAAGATAAATAAGCTCAGAGATCTGCTGTAACATTGTACCTGTTTACAAGGTACTGTACACTTAAAAATTTGTTAAGAGGTATATTTCATGTTTGTTCTATCACAATAAAGTAAAATTTTTTAAAATTTAAAAACACAATATGCCATAAACAGGGAATTTCGAAAGAAGAATGAATGCAGGGCCAGAAGAGCATTACTTTCATAACAAGAAATTCACGTTACTTGTTAAAACAGAACTAATTACCATTTGTTGCAAGTCCTCTGCATTTGCATTGGTGATGACAGTGAGTCGCCAGGTAGAACACTTCAGCGTTGTTCCGCCACCCCTGCTCCATAGCTCTGGTCACTTTTTTCTAAAGCTTGAAACACCTATTCAGAAAGGAATCATTCCCCCAAGGCATGACAGTCAGTGGCTGTTACAGGATTATCTGACTTGTAGATAATGTTAATTACAAGTCATTCATTTATTAAAATAAAATTAATTCTCCAGTTTCCAAACATTTCTTCCTTTCCCTATTTTCATCCTATAGATTTACAAAAACACTTTATTCAAAATTCACTCAAGAGCTAAGCCTTCAGGATATAACTCTGATTTGGAAGTTTTAGAAAATGATTATACTCTCCTTTCTTGAGGCTTATACTGGGAATTAACTAATAAAATATCCTTTGAAGGAACAAATGAATGTATAAATAAGTAATGAAATACTCACTACCCTTATGTTCTTTTCCATCTCTAGTTTCTAAGAGAGGTTTGAGATCCTGAATTTCATTGCTCCACCCAAGATGAAGTAGAGCACAAAATACGTAGAATATGCAATGATTATTTTTGATGAATAGGGTTGATCCTCATTAGAGTTTGTGACCATGCCCATGTGACCCATGAAAGTGATTCTCTGTGATTGGAGTAGAAGGGAGAGAGGTGGCTGGGGGAGGGCTGCGGAGAGGGAAGTTAACAGCTGTGACCGAGATTACTTTTTCATGTGCATCCCTACAGTCTCCCACAGATGTTCTGTGTTCCGCCTCTCTCTGTCACCTCTCCAGTGGATTCCATACACTAACTCACCAGAACTCCATTCCCTGGAGTGATAAGTAATTTATTTTGTATTAGTTTAAAGGTGCCTCTCTCAGAGTTAAAAAGGTTATTGCTTATTCCAATTAATGATTTAGTAAACAAGATGATGCTAGCAGTCACTGAAAGGAAGATAGTTGGAATGGTGGCATTTGAAGGTTTGTTTCTGAACATGGGTTAATAATGTTTGAGTTTATTCCTGCAGAAGACTGAATTTTAGCATTTCATTGAAGATATTCCCAAATAAAGTGTGTTCACATATACAAATGAATCAGAGAATAATTAAGTGGATAATTATCCTTTATATATCTCAGGGATAACTTAAGAGGTAAATCACTGGATTCTCTCTGTGCTGTTCTATTCAAGCTGCATTCACTAATATTGTTTTGTTTTCTTATTGATATCATGGGACTACACTTCTAAGTTCTCATACTATCTTTTATTATTACCATGTCATACGATTGTGGTGAACATGCAATAAGAAATAGGTATAAAAGCCTTAGAATAATGCTCAGCATATAGTAAGTTCAATAAATATTAGCTATTATTATTAATATTATCCTTAATCTAGCTGAGAAGACAAACGTTGGTATAGTTGCATCTTTTCTTTTATTCTTCTCCCATGACCAATCCATGAAACCCTGGCCTCTTGGTCCTGAGTCATGTCATGCACCAGTAACCACAGCATTTACCCTACTTAACTCTTTCCATGGGATTTTTGCTCTTCCTTGGATGCCATATATAACACTGTCCACTGCTGTTAATGCTACCCACGATCTGATTGAGTTTCCATAATAAGAGATATAGCTTCACCTGGAGAATGTACATCTTTATTTGGAGACAGATGGATCTAAATTCTATGAAAGAAAGTATCTTAGTATGCAATTAAATGTCAATCAGGAGGAACTCAGACTGGAGTATCTGTGTCTCACCTGGAGCGGTTGCCACACTTTCTTCAACATTTAGGCAGACTGAATCAGACACTATTCTGTCTGTTTCCTATGATGATGTAATAACCAAGAGATGGGCCGAAGAACCATGTGCTGAGTTACGGAAACATTTAAATGCTGGTAAGATGAACCTGGGAGTTTTCTTCTCTGTCCAAAGTGTACAATTTTCCCTTAGATGAAATCTGAAAGTACATAGCAACATAAGCATCAGAATGGCTGAAATTGCTTAGTAATGGGCAGATGATAAAGAGAACAGAATTAGTGTTCATTGATCATCTACTATGCATCAGGAACATATACTTGAACATATTCAGTTTTCATAGTTGTGTGTATAGTTTTACTGATTCCATTTAGTAAGTATAGAAACTGAAGCTCATAGGTGACAGAGTATGAATCTGAACCTTGATCTTCCTGACTCAAAGCCATGCCTTTTCCAACATATCATGCTACCATTCTTCCTAGTTTTTATTTAAACAGCAAATGAATAATACCTGAAATAACAATATCCATTCTTAAGCATAATACTTGGTTCTTCCCTTTGTAAATAGGCATATTCTTAAGTAACACTGGTGAGGCCTAGTGGTCTGTTCTTGGTACTGCTTTGACTGGCCATGAATCATTGCTGAGGTCACTGACTAGTCTGGAGACTGAATGAGTGCTCTGGTGAAACCCTTGGCATCACGTCATGTAAAGAATATCAATCTAGGGGCAGACAATCTTGAATGAAATCCTAAACCTACCACTACTTGTGACACTGCAGGATATTCAACTTTCCAATCTGTTTAACCATAGCACTTTAAAAACATAAAGTGCTATGTGAGTTCATCATTCACTAAATATCAGTTGTTCAGGTAAAGAGTCATTTTAGGATTATTTGTGTAAGTAAAGAAATGTTGCACATAGAGATAGATGCAATACATATTATTGAACTTACCAAGTAGTTGTAGTGTGTAATTTTGTCAACATACGGACTTTTAGGTGTGATAGTTATACTTAGATGTTCTCCACAAGTAAACTCTTATAATTGTCTGTCCAGCTAAGGGAAAGGAGCTTTGGCTGGGTGATGAGTAGGTCACTGCTTGATAGTCACTGCTGGCCTGATATTCTTCCGGAAGGTCTGGGTCATCAGTTCTAACCTAAACAAGATAGTGCCAAAAATGTAAAACACTGATCCTTAACTTTGTATCAGCGATGATGGTGATTGTAATAGGCTAATGCTTGTCTAGCATTCACTTAGTTCTAGGCCTGCTTCTAAGTGCTTGACATATATAAACGTATCTATACACTTATAAATCTTTGGACTTCATAACACCTAATTTAAAGGTAAATTAGCATCCCACTGCCTAACAACTGGTAAGCTATGTTACTGAGTATTTACAGAAAGGCTATTGATTTAAAAATAATCAAATTAGCTATGAAAATCTAGGCTACTACTACAGAAGAGTTCAGTGAAGTCAAAGGAGAGAAAAGATCCTAGATCTAGAGTTGACCTTTTCTCAAATGACATGCCAACTTACTGACATATTTCCTTTTGCCACAGGCTGGCAAACTAGGAATCTGGGAGAGGGAAA